GGGGCTGAGAACCGCGCCACGGGGGGCGTCCAGACCCCCGGTTTCAGAGCGGGAAGAGAGTCTGGAGCGACATGTGGAGCCCTGCATTGCAAACAGATGTAAGATCGGGGCTGCTGCACGGGGGTCGTACTTTCATACCCCCGAACTCGGAGCGCGGCTGCCGCAATACGAGGGTCGGCTACCCGAACCCAACATCTCGGAGCGAGGCGCGGGGTCGGGAACGACGTGCACGAGGGGCGCTACGTAACGCGAGACGAAAGAAGCGGAGCTATACGGCCCTACATGGGACTTCTAGGAGCCCTGTGGGGTGAACGCTTGCGTCGCCCACGTGTCCGCAAGGGCGGCCACATCTGCCCTGGACAAGGTTGGGAAAGGGGATAGGGGAGCCTGCGGCCGGAAAAATGGCACTGCGAGGAAAGGGCGGGGTCCAGTGTGGGCTGATGAACCTCGTGAGCCAACCGCGTCAAGAGAAAAAAAAAAAAAAACACACACACACGCGGAGAGGAGGGACAGGAGCCTGGCACGAATTGGGCTCCAGGGGGGCCGGAACAGCGGAAAGAGCCTGCAGTCGTGCAGCTCTGGCGCAGGCGTGACTGGAGAGAGGTATAGTTCGGGCAGGAGGTTAGACCACAGCTCTGCCTCTCCCCAGCGAGACGGCGGGATATACTGGGCTAGCAGTTGTTTCCAGGCGGCTCTGACAGAGTTGGCGAAGATGCCACATCGCGCAAAACGCGCCGCAGATTCAGGCGTTGAGAAGCCCACGATGAGTCCTCCCAATACCGACCGGTCTGGCCAAAACCGCGCGCTTGGCTGCAGAAAGTGGCGCCTTGCGCCGCGGAGAAGCCTCCGTCTCCGAACAGAGCAGAGGTAGCTGTAAAGTTGGAAACGGGGGCGAGCAGGTGGCCAGAACGGGGGTCCCCCGAAGGGAGCCAGGGGTCTACCCAGGCCACATCCCTCCAGTCCTCTGCTGGCGCGGACTGGCAAGAGGAGGGCGAGAAGGCCTGGGAGAAAGGGAAACAAGGGATGGGGCACTGTCACCCCGCCGCAGCTGACGATTCAAGGTGTGGGTGCTCATCGGGCCTGTTAGGAGGCCCTTAGTGCCGCCCCGGGGGTCCACACACCTTAGAGGGGAGGGAATCGACAGAAGGCTGCGACGGGCCCCGGGGTGGCACCGGTTGACATGGCCACTCCAGGAGCCCAAGCCAATCCAACAGTCCATTTCCAAAGGACTCGCCAGACTTCTATCCTGTCGGTTTACCTAAATCCTGGCAGCCTCATGACCCCGCCAAGCATCGCCACTGCGGGAGCCGACATCCCTGACAAATTTGATCGTTGAGGGTCTAGTGTTGCAACAATCCAAGCCCATGCTGAAAAAAGGGTTGCAACGCAAGCACAACAACACGGACCTAACAACAAACTCCGATCACACCAGCGCAGCCCCAAACTTTTTATAAGCCAAAGGATCTCAGCTACGACTCCAAGTACTGGGATGCGCGCCGCGGCCGGACTCTCACGAAGAGAGCCTCGGCGTCGGGGTTGTGTGGTTTCAGGTATAGCGCCTTGTTTTGAGATGTTTTGAAGGTTAAGGTTCTGGTGCAAGGGCTTTAGGTTCTTAGGGGGTTGCTCTGTGTTTATAGGGTTTGGGGTGTGTTCGGGAGGGTGCAGAGGGGTTCAGGTTGCCTTAAGAACATCGGTTCACCTTGTGTTAAGTGCTGTACGTTCTTGTGCAGGGGGTTTGGAACTGGGCCGGCTCAATACTAAGTGGACTCTTCAAAACATGTTTTTTTAACCTCAGAAAATACTAAGTGGACTCTTCAAAACGGATTTTGTCCTGTTTGCGGGTTTGGAAGGGAAAGCGTGTCTAGTCCGGGTCTTGCGAGGGTTTGGGGCGAGGTTTCAGCAGCCATTCATAACCGCGCCCTGCCAAAACCCCCAAGTCAAGCATCCAGTAGACTCGGGGTGAGGCACAATCCTCGACCCTGCAAACCTCCCTCAATCCTGCAAGTGGTCACAGCGCCCGGAACCCTGCCTCATGACACAGCCCTGAACCCTAAACCCCTAAACCTTAAAACCTCAAACAATACAGCCCTGCAGGCCCAATCATACCTACCCCAAACTCTCTCGGAAAACGGGCTCTCTCCCAGCTGGGTACCTAAGGTAGGAACCTTAACAAGTAGGGTTTAGGGTTTTGGGAGCATGGTACCGCCTCCTCTAATGTTAGACTATGAATACGAGTCGTTCCACCAATGCCAAAAGCAGAGCAAGCCCGGAAAACCCTGACGCCCAGGACAAGGATCCCCCAAAGCTTTTTCTCGAAACATGAAAACCGTACCAGATGATGGACCGAACAGTGGAAGACCCTAACACCCGACACACTACACCCTTAACCTAGACCTCGAACCACATGCCTCGCCTGGTCCGTCCGAGTGCGGGCGCTGAAACCCTAAACACAAAGGCCTAAACCGTAGGCCCCAACCTTAACCCTGAAAACCTTAAACCGAACACAACCCTGAACCCTACACCCTAGACTCTAAACCCTAAACCCTAACATAATACAAGGAGCCCGTCTCAACCTGGTCTTCGGTGAGGAGGCGGCAACACCCTCAGAGGCCGGCGGCGCAGGGGGAAAAAGTGCAGAAGTTGAGAGTTTGATTTAGGGTTTAGGATTTAGGGTTGAGGGTCTAGGGTTTAGGGTCTAGGATTTAGGGTTTATAGGATTAAGGGTCTAGGGTTTTGGGTTTTGGGTCTAGGATTTAGGGTTTTCAAACGCCGTTGATCGGCGCTGGCTTCGCAGTGAAGCTGCTAGGGCTGCTTGTTCCAACTCCAGGCGAAGCGGAAAGCCTGTTGCAAAAGGGTTGTAGGATATGTTCGAGGAGTGTAAACAGTGTAGGAGTTTTGGACCTAGTTGAGTTGGAAGCAGTGATGTAAAGCAGCTTCGGGCTATACCGAACTAGTACCGTTGGAACTAGGTTTAGTTAGGTCCCTACAAGGGCCCTTTATGCCATCTAGGGAATGTTCAGTTCTGGGATTTACAGCACCGGCTGAGGAAAATTTATAGGTTTCGTCGTTAGCCTGTAGGTGCAAGGACGGGGGGCACCAAGACCTTCCACTACCCTTTCTAATCTGTAAGCCCGGGATCCAAGGTGCTAATCTCCGAAACAAGTCTTGGGTTCAAGTCCGCCTAGACGTCAGAGACAACTGAGGATTTCAAGCAGTCCCTTGCCTGATCTCTTGCGCAAGGCTGGAGATGTTTGTCGGCAGTGCGGAAGGAAAGCATACACACGTCTATAAGCAGACACGGACGGACATGGAACCATGAAGAGACTCGTATATGATAGATTGTCCTGCTTTATGCCTGAATTGAAGAGAAATCCCTGCTGCAGGATTGCGGCACTGGTATGGTCGTACCGCCCCCCAACCTTTGCCCGCCTGTCCCATGCCCGACGTTGCAAGTTGTACGTGCTGCCAAGGTACAGCGCTACTCAGACTGCAGGACTGCAGGATCCAACACTTGCCTTAGGGGGGGCAAGATGGGAGTTTCTGAAACTGGGGGTACCTTTTTTGGGGGATCTTATAATAAGGATCCTACTATCTAGGGTACTATATTAGGGTCCCCTATTTTCGGAAACTCCCAGAGTGTAAGGGGTGCGGGGGTAGAGGGATACAGCAGCTGTTGGTTTTGGGGACCATCATTTAAAGAGCTCGGGCTTGGACAGGGTTGTTCTGTTGAAGGCTCAGGCAGGGGTATTGCCGACACACCCGCTGCAATCCATTCACTGGTTCGCCGAGTTCCACCCGCGGTGTGCAGTTTGCGTGACATGCAGTGGCATTTCTGCATATCATCAGTATGCCCCAACATTGCAGATACATGTATGCATGTGTCATTGCGTTCGTGTCTATATATATATATATATATATATGTATACATGTATATGCATGCAGAGAAATATACTACTCTAGGTAGTTGCTCTCGCTTTGTTTCTGTTTGCATAAAGTAGAAAACCGCATCCCTTGCAATAGCCTCGACTGCAACCCTGCCATGAGCATTTAGCCGAGTTTGCAGACAGAACATCGACCCCTTAAACCCTAAACCACCCAAGACCCTAAACCCACCATGGCTGTAGTCAACTGTTCAACTGAGACTCCCTGCAATGCGGGCTTCGTCCTTGCTAGGTGGGAGGGATAAAAAAACCATGCTACACCCGTATCTCAGGTGAAAGCTTTCCGGGACCTTCCCCATCTTGCCAGATTTCGTGCTGCTTTGCCCGAAAGGCACCCGCGAGTCACAGTTGCTGAGTCGCTGAAGCCATGCGGGGGTGGAGTTCGTAACAATATGCGGTACCTTACCTTATGTACCCTACAACATTTCGGCCTAAGCGGTCAGAAGAAGAGGAATCTCCGCTTGGGCATCGGGTGTTCTGAAAGTCTCACAAGAACGTGTCCTCCT